GACATGATCAAAAGGAACAAGCAGTTGGTGTGGAAGAGACCAAACCTTCAATCATTCTCGGCAAACGTAACATCTTCAATGCGTGCTTATCATGGAAAGCATATTACGTGCCGAGTTCTTGCCATTCGAATGAAAGAAAGAAATTTTTTGGAAATGTCTTCAGCAAAGTGATGAATAAAATAAGATGAATCAGTTTTTTTCCACATTCAAAAATAATATTCTCGAATAATAATCACTAATCGTAAGAATCACTAATTCGCTAATTTTTGCTTTCGCCGAATGCATAAAATTTCTTTTTAGCCTCTCTCATCGCAATGCTAATTAAAATAAATATGGCATATACAATTGATGAATTTGCATAAAAGATTTGAAAGCATACGGCGTTATTTCATCTTGGAAAAAGCAATGCGTAACTTTTATTGCGGTGATAGTTTTCATCATTAAAATAGCACTTGTTATTGTCAAGAAATCACTTTATATGGATATTAGCAGCAATAAAATCAAATCAACGGACATTATCGCTATTAATAAAATAAAATTTTGAAGGAAGATTTGATACGATTTCAAATGGAAAAAGCTATGCTTAATGGTCACTTCAACTCGGGATTAATTTGATGAAATTGTGATTATTTTCGTTCATTCAGTTATCATTAAGTTTACGATTAGTACGTTTTTAATGATTCATTTTGCTTGAATATACACAAAACTTGTCGGAAATTATCACGAAAATGTGCTAATGAGTCACTGATAAATGGAAATTAGTGGATATAAAAGATGCTCTCAACGTCCAGCAAATCATTCGTTCATTCGTCTGCCGCAGTCAACGTCAACACACTCCTCGTGTAATTCAAAGTTGATCCTCTTCTTCCCACCAGTCAGCTATTCATCGGTTTTAATCGAGACTTCCACTCTGAATCTTCATTATTTAGTCGCTTAAGCTGAAATTTGACCAAAACTTCAGTGCAATTAGCCATGTTAAAATTTCTTCGATGAAACCGCCTTTTTTGCGTTAATTTCGTGAACGTTAGAGAGTATTTACAGCGAGCGATATCAGGATCCCTTCAAATTCTACGGAGCTGATTGTTTTTATTTCAATCAAAAGGCGGCAAAAACAAATTCATTGAGATAAGAATAGTTGATTTCCTCAAGTTCTTGCTCTAATTCCACCCGCACAAAATGAACACTAGCCATCTGATATCCTTAAATAAGATCGGTTCATTTTATAAAAATTGGATACGCACTCGCTTTTTTCCATTTTCCACTGCACACTTTCTCGAAATCCTCAAAAGCGCCCCATACCAAATCTGTCAACGTTTCGAGCTTGTCCACGGTCATAACATGGATGTGCGACTAAATCCCAAAAACAAAGCAGCTTCTGCCAACTCACCCAATGCGGTTCCTCCGATTATCACGTTCCTCCACCTCATTGGATACGTATCACTTAATCAGAAAATAACTTCTCCAGTTCCATGTGCCGAAATTGGGTCCATTTCATTTTACAAAAGCTATGGCGAAATTCAACAAAAATATTGCATTGAAGCGGGATCGAGCAGCCGCCTTCCATGTTTTGAGTCCTTAGCGTAGTACGTTATCAATACACCGCCGACCTATCACATCAGTCTTCCAAATCTGCTCAAATACTTTCGTTTATCGCGGATTCAATCTTCGATTCATGCCGGCTTCACGCACTAGTCGCGGCACCAGGCGGTTAATTCATTTCAGTTTTCAGCCATTCAATTTGCAGTCATCAGCAATGCTCGTAATCAAACTATTTCTGTTCTGCGCTTTTATCGCAGTGGCAATGGTGAGTTCCGTTTTTTGAAACGATTTCACTCTATTTTGGAAGCGATAAATTGTGGCATTGCATGATGAGGTTTTCAAATTCGCTTGTTCCTAAAACTTTTCGATAGTCACATCGACGAAATTTCCGTTGTTCCAATTTTCCAACGATTACGATCAAATGACAATGACAATAGTGATTCACCTTCATTATAAACATTGACAAGTGATGAAAATAGGAATCGTAGTGAGTAACGGAATAAGTAACAAATCGTGGAAATATTCAAGAGAAAAATAAATGCAAAAGAATAAGGTGAGAAGATTTTATGCGACTTAGGTGTGAGTGCAACCAGTGGTTTTCGTTTTGGGGATATTGAAGCGAAGAACTTCATTAAACGGATATTTTTTGTTTTAGTCGTGTGAAAAGCCTTGCGGTGGCGGTAACGGTGGTGGAGCCTCAGGCGGTGGTAGTGGTGGTGGTGGTGGTGGTGGTGGTGGTGGTGACAAAGGCCAGGTAAAACCGTCGACAATGGATCAGACAAAATTTCTTTTTTTTTCGCTTCAGAAAGCAACTGATACTCAGCGAACCATTCTGCCAATACATACTCCTAGCTTCTTAAGCGGGGGTACATGAATCCGCTGGGATCGCGAGATTGTATGTTACGGGGTGCGGAAGGGGGTGGGCTGAGAGGGGTACGAGAGTGGGTGCGATGAGAGGGGTGAGGGACGGGTACGGGACGGGTGCGAAATAAGGTTTCATTTTTTATACATTATATTAGGCGAGGACATACTTCATATTAATGTGTTCACATTTCACGCTATTAATTTGAAAGGTAATTTTTTGGGTCACGTTTCATTCTTAATTAGAACATTGTTGTAGGG